AAGATAGTGAAGTACTAAGAAAGTTAAGTGTGGTAGTGCTGAATATGGCCATTCATAGTCTGAATCACAGAAACGACCGCCTTAGCAGTGTGGGCAGCAAATTTGCCCACGTTCTTCGTAAGAGCCTGGATGAGCACTTGGAAGACAGCCTCCTTCTAGACACACAACGCGGATTATGGAAACTTTTTTTCAACTCTGACATGATATATCTTGACCGCCAGCTAAGGGGAAAATGAAAATGGATGAGAACCAGCCATTGCTTGGTCTTAGTTGCTATAATGATGGCTTCTGACACCGTTAAACGTGATGGGTTCTGCAAAACCATGATGAAATTCGGATGTCCAGGGTCATTCACCCAGATAGTTTGACAAATTTATAACTGCCTGGTGGTGCAAGTCCTGGCCAGATGGTCGGCCTTGGAAACCCCCATATCAAAATATTGAAATAGGTTGACGTGATTGTCCCACCCTCTTTGACCACTTGTTGTCCACCATACTGATGAATAAATGTGGTAAAAAAGAACCAGGAATTATTTAGGCATGGGAATAAGTGTCCCCGCACGACCGGTGGCCTTGAGATAAGTTCCAGAGGGAGTACTAGCTGTCGATTCATAACTTTGCCTCAACTTTAACCACAACGATATGCCTCCTAGCTCCAGCGTTAACGCCATTGCTACAAACTCTAATGATAACCTTAACCCTCTTAACCAGAACCCTAACCATAATCTCCACTGACATCTAACACGAAGCCACCTGTAGTACGGGGTACACGTAACCGTTCCGCACCCTGGAATAGATGTGAACTAACAAAACGACGGAGAACTTCTAAAACCTTTGCACACGCATGAGGAAAGAAGAACACTGAAAATAAGCCTCACGACCTTTCATTGGCAGATTGCTGTGTGCCCAACTGTACAACCAAATTGGACGTACAGTGGAACGCAGGTTTCCTTGCTGTTGACTGCTTAAACTACGGGCAAGCCATTAAAACGGAGAAGGCGAGGGTCATACAGCGGTTAGAACCAACTGAGAAATCACACAAACCCTACTGTAACGCTAGTGGGGGACGCTTCACAGCTATGGATAAATTCGAGTAGGTGAGAAGTACATACTAACATTCCAGACAGTAATGTCGACGAAAAAATGCAAAACCCTTTCCGAATCGACCAGGATATTTGCGGGGCTGCAGTATTCAATCCAAAGTCACCGTGACATCCTCTCCAACAGGAAAAGGAGAATGTACAGGGTTATCGTTCTGGTTACATTTCTTTGTGGGATAAAGGACTAAAACTTTCAAAGGTTAGGCAAGCAGAATAAACCATTTCGTCTGAGCCGCTTCTGAAAAAAGCTGAAAGTGAAGAGACAGGGATGGATTCTGAACAGTTATAAGAAACAAGCGCCCTCACTGCCTATGTTATGTTGGAAGAAAACCAACCGCAGGTGTCTGCCTAGGCGAATATTCAGGGATAACATTGCCACGGGTGCTCGCGGTCAAACTGATAAAAACGTGCGACAAAAACACTGAATACCCCATGTAAACACCCAGAAACCACTTAAGAGACCCGCAAGAAGTTTGGTCAGGTTTGGGAGACTGAGAATGCCGCCAAAAGACCTGGGTGACAATCTTTGGCGCAAGGTGGAACGTCAGGCAGACAAGACGGTTGTATGCTGAGTCAAAGACCTTTAATTCTTAGCTTCTACTAAAAATGTTTGCACCGGCAAATGATATTTGGAACTTAGACCGGCATTGTTGAACAATTTGTTTCCAGTGGAACGTCAGGATGAGCAGCCTGCCCGCATACTTCGCACCGGAGAACACTTTAACCGCTCCCTTAACTGCGCACACTCCTCTAACTTGCTACTACTGTAGCATCACACGCCAATTCTGGTTCGACTTGGTCGAAAATCCTCCTGCATATCCTGGTAGATACGCCGTCAAGACACAAAAGACAGCTATCAGTAGTGCAGACGCATCGCCAACATGCCGTCGCTGCGGATGTGCATTTGATCCACGTATAAATCTGGTCAGCAACTTGGTCCCCCGTCGCAACGCTGCCGAATAACTAACGTCGGGAGTTCCAGCCGACATTCGTCGTGTCCGCCTTGCCTGCCTACAAGGCTTCAGCGCGTACAAACATCGTCCTGGTCGGTTCGGTCATACACACTCGAAAATAATCGCTAAAACTTTAGAGCCAACGGTAGGACTGACTTATGTTGCCCAATAAACAGGACATGAGGACAGGAACCGCCTGCTATACGGGTGGCTTTGAGCCGACTTCCAGTGTGATAACGACTAGGTTTAAGGGTAGGGTCAGGTTAAGGATTAGGTTTAGGGATGGATTTAAAGTGGACGATGAGGTATGTCAGGGACAAGTTCCGGGCTAAGGTTTAGGGTAGAGTTAGGGTCAAGATCAGGGCAACGAGTAAGTTTTACACTAGGGATATTGTTGAAGTTAGTAGACAGGAACATCTTGCCCTTTCCGGAATTATGGGCAGTTCCACCTTTATTACTTGTGTGGTGCATTCCTGCTCCCACTTCCTTTTGAGGGGGTCGCATACGTCAGTCGCACCGAGCCGGAGCTCTGCCTCAATTCTCGGCATTCTTTGCACAAACTCACACATGTGAACATTTTGTATTACCTGAGTATATAGACGCGTAAACAACCAATAAATCATAACATACAATTTGCTCATCATTCATATGGGGAATATCATATGCAACATCTTGATTTCTCACATAGGTGAAATCTGCGTTTTTTTGAGGTCAAGTTCGAGTGGAGAGAGATGTCAGCAAATGTGCGGCACGCTTATATGGATGTTGTTACGCCGTGCGGTTGCTACACCTACTACAACAGCCAGTAGACCGGGTGCCGACTTTCTGCAGGTGTGGGGAAGGGATAGGAGAACGAGGCTATGGCAGTCGGCTGTGGTGGTCGCCAGCGCGATCTCTTACTCATAGTGTCTTCGGTCCGCTTAACACCCCTTTCGAATTGAAGGCCCTCGCCGCTCGTGATTCGGAGTCCCGGTCGGGTGACATTATGTCCTTCACTGATTCCCTGTAGGCGGATATGGCTGTGAAATTGTAAGTTCTTTACAGCACTGAAAATGTGTAACATTCTGTGCGTAAGGGTTCATCATTCGTTGTGACCCAGCCACCTGTGCTCTCCCCTGCCTCCGGTCTTCTTGACTCCGACTTGACACCGGGTCCAGGTGGAGAGTGGGGAGGAGAGAGTGCGGTAGACGCTGCGAAAGTCTGTCATCACTATAGACTTATTCATGCGCAAGTTAGCGTGCCTGTTGCAGCTTGTTGGGTGTAGGCATCGTTGGAATGGACAGTCGAGCTGTCGGTACATGAGTGAGAGAAGAGAGTGTGGGGCCGACTCTAAGTAATCAATTTCCATTGCGCCTCAGCATATTTCGCACCATACTCAACTGACGCGTTTCAATCTATCACTAAGCGCAGTCATTCCTGGCTAGGATGCTGCTAACTGACCGGGTTTCTCGGCCCCCTTACTTCGGAGAACCAGACTGTAATAGGTTCTACTTAGTGCTGCTCTACGACACCCCACCCATGTGAGATCATAGCCTCGCCATCTTAGTGAAAATATAAATCGTTGTGCGTGAACCTAGTCGTGCGTTGCCCGAATGGCGGACTGCCTAACTTCATCAGCCGCCGCTCCTGAGCTCGCCTCCGTACGGTCCGATTCGTTCTTGCCGATGGACCCTGATTTGTAAGGAAGAAGAGAAAGTAGGAGATGCAGTGGAAGGCTACTGCACAGTAGAATAATTCACGCGCACGTCACCGTCGTGCTCCCATCATGCTATGGAGCAAACGATCGGCATCGTCATTCGTCCTGATCGAACGTACATCATGTCTGGGAAGAAGCACGGCCAACGACGATAGAGGCCGGGTGGACAATTATTGCTTATTAACCGTCATCACTAAGTCATACCGAACGCAGAAACTGCAAGTCCTAGGATTACAACCCAGATTCTTTGGTCATAAACGTACAGCCGAGTGAGGACGGCTAATAATCCAAAAATACCAATCCCAGTGTCCCTCGTCTACACCAGTTCTTCTGCATAAATTATTTTTTGGCGCTATGCGACCGACTTCGGGGGCTTCATATTAAGCCCTTAGGTGTAATGGAACAAGCAAATTCCGCAACCTGATATGATAAGCCCTACGTATATATTTTATACCTCTTCAGAAGCGTTTAAGAAGCAGCAAGAACTTATTTTGAGCTTATGGTTTGAATTGAATAATAGGTATCACCTCACGGAATACTGTTATTGGGTAAAAGTAGAAATCGTCGCGTGAGAAATATTTACGTCCCCTCGCAGCAGGAGAAGATGCATAGCTTCTCAGTAAAAGAAATACAACTTCAATCTGTTCTTCCGGCCTTTCGGGAAAAATCACACTTGTCCTGTCCATCTGAGTAAAAATAATCACGCCATCCTCTTCACGCTCCTTTCCCGCGAAAACGTTCTCACTAGTGCCTTCCAAATATGTGTGACTTATTATCACCTCCTAAGCTGCCATAGGCACTAAGTGCTGGGTGATAATGGATGTCGTTTCGGCACCGATGGTATACCAATTATGCCGGCATAGTTTTATTTGGATAAATGTGGTGGGATTTTCTGCGTATGAGGTAGTAATTCATTGCGGAAAGCGTGATGACTGGGTTAAACGACGTCGACAACCACGAATGGCCATTTCGTGTAGTGAACGAATTTTGCCGGCTTCGCGTAGGCGGGCTCCGGCCGAAAGCGTCACATTAGACCCCCGCCTGGTAGAAAAAATATAGCAGGTTTATTTTAGCACCTCTGTGGGAAGCGATCCAGGTCCCTATACTCCGACGTCCGCCTATCAGTCGACGTTCACGGCAACCATGCTAACCTGCATGCATGCCGCTAACACGCAACCACCCCCTTGACTTGACTTTAGGGGCTCCATTTCCCACTGTGTGTATCGGCCAGTGTGACCTGCTACCCTTGACCCTATCGCAGATAGGCTAGACCGTGAATGAGACCCTGGTTACCACGATCTTCAGGCCTAGTACCGAATGGAAAGAGAAGGCGGACGCCAGTGGGGAGGATAATGTATTCTGTACAGAATAATTGGAGGAGTTGGAGAGGGTTGGCAGCTGGGCGAGGGCATGCCCGGCGCCAGGTGAGCGGTGTCCCAAGTGTCTGAGGGAATGCGTCAAGGCGCCTTAAGCCAGGACACGTCTGACCAGGCCTCGAATCTGATTGGCCAGATGGAGAGCCGAGTGGGCGAATGCCAGGCAGCCCTGGTGCGCAATGCAGACACTCGTGAAAGGCCCACCGTTGCGGCACACGCTCGAAGTAGAGTCATTATAACCCTTTAGCCTCCTGATCACCCATTCTACGACTCCTCTCATGGACCAATTAAACAAAATGTTCAACACTCAACTATTCTCTATGTCCTGTTAACAAAGAACAGCCGGACTCACGCAAACCACACATCGCTACTCACGCGCTACCGAACGAACGTCCCGTTCTAGCCCACAAGCAAATTACCAAGCCACGGCAAACTGCCCTTAGTACATAATAAACCAGTCCTTCAGTTCTTTGACCTCTGTCAGTAGAGAAAACGAAATTATTGGGTGTGGTAAAAGTTGATCTGGTATCCCTGACTGCAACTATGTGGCCGAGGAAGCGAATTTCTGGTTGGAGGAACTTGCACTTCTTTGGATTGAGTGTCAGACCGGCATCTTGGTACCTCGTTAAGACTTCCGAAAGGTTGTCTAGCAGTTCTGATATCGTGGTGCCCCACACTATGACGTCGTCTAGGTAAACAAGGCACTTCGATGGACAGAGGTTTTGCAGTAATTTCTGTATGAGGCGTTGGCAGGTCGCCGCTGCATTGGCTAGGCCCATAGGTAGTGTGGTGAACTCGAAGAGTCCCGAGGGCAGGGAAAAGGCGGTTTTTGCGCGATCTTCCGGGTGTACTTCGATTTGACAGTAGCTTGAGGAGAGGTCAAGGGTAGAGAAGAATTTCTTCCCCGCCATAGAAGCTAGGAGGTCATCCATACGGGGAAGGGGAAAGGCATCTCTGACCGTGACCGCGTTGAGGCGTCTGTAGTCAACACAGAGACGAAGGGAATTGTCCTTCTTTTTAACCAGAGTTACCGGCGCTGCCCACGGGGAGGAGGAAGGTTGGATGATGCCTTGTTGGAGCATGTTTTCTACCATCTTATCGAGTTCTTCCCGAAAGTGAAAGGGTATCCGTCGGGGAGGGAGGTGCTGCGGAGGGGCGGATCCGGTGTTTATCCGGTGTTGGACTACGTTGCACCGTCCGATAGCCTGGTCTGCCCATGTGAACACGGATGTGAACGGTGCTAACGCGTGGAATAGGGCGCCGCGATCGTCTGCCGATATGTTATCCGGTAGGATATCTTCGATTGAGGAGGGATCGAGGGGTGGTCGTGCATCGATTTCGACACTGTTTACGTCCACGGTTACCTTTTCGTCTTTGAGGATCAGGGACTGAGAAGTGGGGGAGAAGGTAATAGCCTGGGCATGTCGTTTTAGAAAATCACAGCCGAGTATGACATTCCATTTCAGTTCAGAAGACACGAGGAAGCAATGCCGGATAGTCGTGTCTTTGATGGAAACTGGAACTGTGGCGGAGCCGCTAAGCTGGAGGGTGGAACTGTTGGCGGTGAGAATCTGTAACTGAGGGAATGCTGACTGAATGTAGTTTGTTCCATGGAGGAGGCTACGGTGAATCAGGGAGACGGCTGCGCCCGTGTCTATAAGGATACTGACTCTCCTATTGGCCACTGTGCCCGAGATTGTCAATGGCTTAAAATCAGAGGGGAGGGTGTATAAAGCGGCTAGGGGAAAGGGCTGGTTACCTGAGTTGTGTCCGCATTTCTTGGCAGCTGTGCCGAACCGGTCGCAGTAGTAACACTGATTGTTGTTTGGCGGGCCTGGAAGCCTGGGGGGTTGGAAACGTCGGTTTAAAGTGGTGTGGTAGGGTGTGGACCGGCCTGGGAGGTTGGGTGGATGACCCCAAGTAGTGGGATCTCTGGTGGCTTGAGGTTCTTGCGCCAATGGGAATTGGGTGCGGCGAGCCGAGTCCAAGTCAAGAGCCTCCTTGACGTTGGCCGGTGGACGGCTGGTGAAGATTAACGCTAGTTCACGGTCGCGTATGCCCGACATCATGCGACAAAACGTGAGATCTTCATCGCCGTGAGGTGGAAAGGCGCGAAACGAGAGGTGTTTTAATTCTATGTAAAAATTTAACAGGGTCTCCCCTTGCCGCTGGGTTCTATTAAAGAACCGCTGTTGTTCCGCGGCCTGGCTGGACTCTGACTGGAAAATTTGTTTGAGGGCGCCGAAGTATTCCTCGAATGCGCAGAAGGGAGAGGGAGCCAGCCCATCTACCTTGTATACCAGTTCGGGGGCGAGGAGGGATTTGAGTGTGGTCTTCCGGAAGTTTTCGGGGACCAACTCTAAGTATGGCTCTGCTAGAGAGATCCATTGGGCTAGGTTGTCGTCTTGACGTAGGATCGGGGGTTGTATTGACTGGGGAGTGAAGGCTGGCGTGGTGGATGTCGGGTACAGTTGTATTGGTGGCGGGGATAGGCCAGGCTTTGGCCGAGGGCGGTGTTGTATGTTTTTGAAGTGTGGGATAAGGTACGAACAGGTTTCAAGAGGGGCGAAGGGCGAAGGAGGGCACGCCGTTGAGATTTTCGGGGGTGAGCCAGGAGTTGGCGTGGGTTCCAGGACGGGAGCTTTCGATCCGGACATCGCTGTCACCAAATTTGTAATGTTCCAGATAAGATGGGGACAAACGGTTCTCAACACACACACACTGACGTAGAACGTGGGAAGAGACGATGAGAGTTTATTGTCTATTGATAATGAAACACACGATGTGCAAATGGGTGAAATGGGATACTGCCGGACACTTGTTGGAGTTATAATCGATTGGGCAGACCTAAAGCATAAAAACAAGAAAAAAAGGTTACCAGGGAGGAATGACAATGTACACTTGGAGTGTGGCGTGTGTGACACAACACCTTTTCGAGCTTTCCACTTTGTTTGGAGCACATAAAAAGAATTAAAGTCAACTTCTGCATTCTGATTGCACGTTAGTTCCACTAGTTTTCAGTTGTTGTTTGGTTGTTATTGCGCGAACTTGAGTTGACGGTGTAGAAGCTCCGCGGTGCCGTTGGAGGTATGTATGCCGTCGCTATGATGGGCGCACACCCAAGCAGTCCAGTGAACTCACGATAGGGGTTGGATTGAAATTGGCTCCTGAGCCCAGTATTAATGGTGAGTGGCACACTGATGGTGAAATCCACTGCGTCAGAAAAATCATGGCAGTATTTTCTGCCGAGATATCAGAGATCGAAATAGCAATCGGCCATCGAGTGAAGTGGTCAGCTATGCCTGTACCCACGATAGGATAGTGGAACAACAGGCCGGGAGGTACCTCGGAACCAGTCGCGCAAAATCGCACCTGGTGATGCGGGAAGTGGAACATCTCGAAGTTGCAGAGTAGTAAACGTACGCAGATCAGCGATGGACTTGTGTGCTGGTAGGAGTTCTGCAAGCTTCGCCAGGTTGAAATAGGAGGTATGTTTGTTGAAATCTGGCCCAGGCAGTGCATCAGCAATGGCACTGTCGCTGCCTCAGACTTAGCGAACGTCCGTGGTAAACTGATAAATATGATCTAAACGGCGAACTTCCCTGGACGAGTATCGATCTGGCTTGGTCTAGAGGGGTTTGTGGTCGGTATTAACCCGAAAATTTCTGCCATCTAAAAGGTGTCGAAAGTGGCGTATGGCCATATAAATGGCAAGAAGCTCGCGAGAGAAAGTACTGTTGCGGGGCTGCACCGGTGAAAGGGAAGCCGATGGCTGAAGCTGTCTATTCACTTGTTGATGCAAGACTGCGCCGACAGCATTGTTGGAAGAGTCAGAGGTGAGAAACAACTGTGCATGGGTGTCGGACTGGGAGGATAGAACATCGTAACATCAGTAAGACCTTTCTTAACTACCTCAAAAGCTACACAGGCTGCCGGCGAAAGTTCAATCGGTTTTGCCTTTGACTTCAAAAAATCAGCCAAGGGAGCCTGTGTCGTCGCACATCTGGGAATAAAACGTCGGTAGTAATCGACCGTCGCAACCAATGATATCCAGCGTTTGATCCACAACAAACTGAAACAGGCACGGCGAACTGCGCGTGAATGAGTTTATAGTGAGAGTAGACTTGCACAATATCTACCGCACTCTCTTCTCCTCTAGCACCTGGACCCGATGTCGAGACATGGTCAAGAGGACCGAAGGTGAGGGACGGAGCGGCTAGCTGACATGACTGGCTTTTTTGACGAACAGCACGGCAGCATAGAAGGAAGTATTATTAGCACGTAGATAACCAAGTTGTTCATGGATTTGGGTCTAGATAGCCCAATGGCCAGTTCATCCGGAGCCAGCGGAACAAGTATACCGGAAACGAACGCTTGGTCAGTCGAAAGACGTGAGATAAAAGCAGGCGCTAGACTCAGTCGAAAGTAAAATGTTGTTATAAAAGGAGTCCCAAAATCAGCGTTCACAATTCCAAGGGAAAGAGTTAAGCATGACTTAGCCCTTCTCGAGATGTATTCGAAAGCTTTGTTAGGAGACGGTGAGTCAATTAATATTCTCAAAGCGTACAGAATAGGGAAGGCTCAGTCAGTGCCCGGTTCACATTCTCGGCCACGACCCTTAAAGTTATTTTGGAAACTGAAGCACATGCACAACTCCTGTTACAAGGAAAATATTCCCTGAGGGGAAAGCATTCCCAAGTTTTTCGGCCGGATTACAAGCCAAAAGAACCACTGAAAATAGGACAGTTTACAACGGAGCTAGAAGAGCAGAGGAGCAATGGCGAAACTCACCTAAAAATAAGGGGCGGAAAAATAAGAACGCAAAAAAGTCCAACCGCCGTGAAGGTTCCAGCTTTTGAAACTGCTATAAGCACCAGTGGTCACTATCTAAAAATCTATTACACCAACTGCTAGAGTCTTTTCAAAAACCTAGCTGAGCTCAAATTGATAGCCTTTGAGTAGGAACTTCAAATAACTTTTTTAACAGAGACATGGTTGACTGAGGAAATAAGTAGTAACGAAGTCAATATTGGAGGCTACTAAGTGTTCCGTTGTGACAGATTTCATCGTAGAGGAGGCACAGCGATTTATGCGTCAACTGAAATTCCGTGCTGTCGGCGAGAAATATCCAATGGGGCGCCGCGAAATATTGAAATAATTTAATGCAAAATATGTATCAAACAATTATCGACACTTAACCTGTGTGTTGTCTATCGGCCTCCCAGCTCGAATGAAATCACCGATATGGAATTACTTAGTGCAATGGAGTTGTTGTGTAAACAGGAGATCTTACTACTTCTGGGTGACTTTAAAGCTCCGGGAGTAAACTGGAAAATTGCCTTAACAAACGCCCACCCAGATCATCCGATAACAATTTACTACAATATTCTCTAGACGAATACCGTATTCAGTATATTTAATTCAGAACAAGACTGGTAGAAGGAAAATATCCAAGTGTTTAGATCTCGTTTTCACTAAAGAAGAAGGACTCATAAGAAAAGTGAATCCACAAACTCCGCTCGGTTTAAGGGATCATATTGCTCTTACTTGCGTGTGCTCTCTCTTATCGAAGCAACAACAAAAATCAAAAGATGCAGAAATATTTGGAAGGGTGACTTTAGCGCAATGAGACGTACTCTTTTGAAGGAAACTTGGTTAGTCAACATGGAAGATTCAGACGAATTCTGGCAGTACTTTCGCGGGATTATAGAGCGTCTAATTGATTCCCATTGTCGAATAGAAATAAGAAGACTATGTACACGACCGCCGTGGGACCATCCGATGGCAAAGACGACCATGTAGGAGAAAAGGTGTTTTCATATTAAAAATCCCATAATATTCTCCGGATATAAAGAGCGATGTGATAAATGCCGCAAACAAACACGGGTTGCTAGAACTTCTTTCGAGCGCCGACTGATAGCAAAATCTATAACATGTCCCAAGACGTTTTATGTATACATCCGCAGTAGAAGAAAACATAGAGACAAAATTGCGTGTCTGAAGGATAGCCTCGGAAACATACTAGTTGAAGGGTCACAGAAAGTGCAATTACTGTCTCAGTTTTTTCAATCGGTTTTTACGAAGGAGTCCTCAGAAGACAATTAGCAGTTTGAAATGAGCCGAGACGGCCGAGAGCTTCAAATGCGCCAACATACTGCCGTCATTAAAACTGTTGCCTTTTCCGTCGAAGAAGTAAGACGTGTCCTTAGTCAAATAAAAGGAGATAAGTCTCGTGGACCCGATGGACTTCCTGAGCTGATAATTAAGGAGCTATCAAAGAAGCTGGCAAAGCCTCTTTCGACTCTCTTTGAGCTGTCAATGAGAACAGGAAAGCTGGCATCACAGTGGAAGACAGCTAGCCTCGTTCCCTTACATAAGGGAGGTAGCAGGATGATAGGAAGCAGCTTCAGGCCTGTTAGCTTAACTTGCCTCCCATGCAAAACGATGGAAGCTATAGTAGAAAGCGCTATACAGCAATTTTGCGAAGAAAATAACATCCTGCAGGATTTTCAACATGGCTTCCGGAGAGGGCGTTTCTGCCTCTCAAAGCTGCTAGCTCGTCTGGAGATCCGGACCAGGGCTTTAGAAGAGGGTTTTGAGGTGGATGTCGTGTACATGATATCCGGAAAGCTTTTGACACTATCCCGCACCAACGTCTTCTTCACAAATTGAGCGCCATCGGCATCCGGGGAGATCTTGTGAACTGGATAACGGCGTTTATGGTTGGTCAAAAACAACGTGTCCGTATCGCAGATGATATGTCAGAATGGGGGAACTTGATCAGTGGTGTGCCTCAAGGCTCATTCCTGGGAACATTGCTCTTCATCCTCTATGTTAATAACAGCCTTCAGGAAGTCGACTGCGGCAAAATAATGTTTGCCGACGATGTTAAGCTCTGGCAAGTCATTAAGAGTCCTTACGACCAAAACGACCCTCCAAAACAATCTGCATCGACTGCAAGCGTGGTCGGAGAAATGGGTTCTAAGTTTCAATATGCAAAAGTGTGCCGTCCTTCATCTGCGTCCAACCCACTCCCATTCAAATGAGAGCCTGAGGATATGTCACCGGAAAGATAGTAGACTCCCTGCAGAATTTTCAGAGAAGTATCTCGGTTTTTGGATAAAGAGTGACATGAAACCAGCACTGCAGTGCAACAGGGCTTCAAAAAATGCCACGGAAGGGCTCCATGCAATTAGAAGTCTCGTGGGCCCGACGGAATTCCAGAGCTGATACTTAAATAACCATCTACGGAACTAGCAATGCCTCTTTAAGCTATCTTTTAGCAGTCAATGAGAGCAGGGAAGCTACCCTCGCAGTGGTAGATAGCCAGCCTTGTTTCCTCGCACATGGGAGGTAGCAGGATGGCAACAAGCGGCTTCAAGCCCATAAGCTTAACTTGCCTCTCATGTAAAACAATGGAAGCTCTAGTAAAGAGTGCTATACAGCAATTTTGCGAAGAAAATAGCATTCTGCAGTATTTTCAACATGGCTTCCGGAGACGATGTTCCTGCCTCTCAAACCTGCTTACTTGTTTGGAGGTCTGCACCAGGGCTATAGACGAGGGCCTCGAGGTGGATGTCGTGTACATCGATATCCGCAAAGCATTCGAGACTCTCCCGCAACAACACCTTCTTCATAAAGTGGCCTCCCTGGGCAT